AAATAAACAAACAAGAAATGTCTTAATTATACACCCCAAGTAAATACGGGTTTCTTACATTAGAGGATGTATTTATATAATTATTTGTTAAATTGCGGGCGCGGCGAGCACAGGAGCAAGCGGACAAGAAGGGCGGCGCAAGTACGAGGAGCTGGGAGCCGTGGAGCAGCACGTGCGCTACGAGACCACGGGCCCGGCGCTGTGCACCGTGGTCTTCCTGCTTGTCTACTTTTTCGGCATGGCCAGCTCCATCTGGTGGGTGATCCTGTCGCTCACGTGGTTCCTGGCGGCCGGCATGAAGTGGGGCAACGAGGCCATCGCTGGCTACTCGCAGTACTTCCACTTGGCTGCGTGGCTCGTGCCCAGCGTCAAGTCCATCGCAGTGCTGGCGCTCAGCTCGGTGGATGGCGACCCGGTGGCAGGTATTTGCTACGTGGGCAACCAGAGCCTTGACAACCTACGCGGCTTCGTGCTGGCCCCGCTGGTCATCTACCTCTTCATCGGCACCATGTTCCTGCTGGCCGGCTTCGTGTCGCTCTTCCGCATCCGCTCGGTCATCAAGCAGCAGGGCGGCCCCACCAAGACGCACAAACTGGAAAAGCTCATGATCCGCCTGGGCCTCTTCACCGTGCTCTACACGGTGCCCGCCGCTGTGGTGGTCGCCTGCCTCTTCTATGAGCAGCACAACCGCCCGCGCTGGGAGGCCACGCACAACTGCCCTTGCCTGCGGGACCTGCAGCCCGACCAGGCGCGCAGGCCCGACTACGCCGTCTTCATGCTCAAGTACTTCATGTGCCTCGTGGTGGGCATCACCTCTGGGGTGTGGGTCTGGTCCGGCAAGACGCTCGAGTCTTGGCGCTCCCTGTGCACCCGCTGCTGCTGGGCCAGCAAGGGCGCCGCGGTGGGCGGGGGCGCCGGCGCCACGGCTGCGGGGGGCGGTGGCGGGCCGGGGGGCGGTGGCAGCTCGGGCCCTGGAGGGGGCGGGGGTCCGGGGGGCGGTGGCGGGGGCTCCCTCTACAGCGACGTCAGCACCGGCCTGACGTGGCGGTCTGGCACGGCCAGCTCTGTGTCTTATCCAAAGCAGATGCCATTGTCCCAGGTCTGAGCGGGAGGGGAGGAGGCGCCCAGAAGAGTTGGGGAGGGGGGCGGGGAGACAAGTGCAGCGAAGGGACCCTTGACGAGCTGAGGTTCCCACCCCTTCACAGTGTTGATTGCTATTAGCATGATAATGAACTCTTAATGGTATCCATTAGCTGGGACTTAAATGACTCGCTTAGAACAAAGTACCTGGCATAGAAGCCTCCCAGACCCAGCCCCTTCCCTCCCTAGAAGTTCGGGGAGCTCCTCGCGCCAGGCGTTAATTTCTGTTGGCTTAGGAGGGTGGACTCTGCGTTTCCAGAACCCGAGGTTTGGAGCTCTCGCTGGTTGCCCTTGGCTGAGCGTGCAGCCAGATTCACGTATTTCACCTGACTCGCCTACGTAAACTCTTACTCCTAACACACCCTGGAGGAGGGGTGACGGCGACCTGATGGGATTGCATGGTTTGGGTATTCTTAATGACCAGGCAAATGCCTTAAATAAACAAACAAGAAATGTCTTAATTATACACCCCAAGTAAATACGGGTTTCTTACATTAGAGGATGTATTTATATAATTATTTGTTAAATTGTAAAAATGTGTAAAATATGTATATATCCAAAGATATACAATGTGTACATTTTTTTGTAAAAAGTTTAGAGGCTACCCCCTGTAAGAACAGATATAAGTATTCTATTTTGTCAATAAAATGACTTTTGATAAATGATTTAAACATTGCCCTCTCCCCCCACCTCTTCTAAGCAGAAAAAAAAAATGGACATGTTTCTGGTTTTGTCATTCTGTACCCCCACCTTAGGCATGGAGAAAAATTACCTGTTAAACTCTAGTTCTTAAGTTGTTAGCTAAGTAAATATCATTGTTGAACTGAAATCAAAATTGAGCTTTTGCACCTTTCCAAAAGATGGTGTCTTTCTTGGTAGATCTTTCCTGATCCGTGGATAACAGCTCTCACCTTAGTGTCTGTAAATGGAACTTTTGCAAGGCAGGAATCCTTCTTAGGCCTTGTTATTTATCCTGTATGCTATCACTAAAGGTTTCAAAACCCCACATTCATTCCTTGTGTCGGTGATTTTGGAAGCACCTGTTCTTCTTGGGACTTGAACACGCTGCTAAAGTGTAAGAGGTGCGTGTTTTTTTAAACCACAAATCACCCTTTACAGTATAAGTCACTTGCCAATCTGGTAGTAGAGCAGGGGCTCTTTAATGGATTAAACTAACGGGTTAACATCTTAATAACCTTCAGTGCTTGTGTATACCAAATGTGCTTCTTTTCCTAGAGAAAAAAGCTATTGTTCCTCTGTCAAGACTAAGCTAATTTATTTGAGCAGAAGGCTGTTGAATTAGCAGAAGAATGCGTTGGCAATTGTTGAACTTTTTACCTGTCTGCCTAGTGGCTCAGCACATCATTCCTTTAAGAGGGGCTAAATGAATAGGGTTAATCTGTAGGGAACTTGGTCTTTTGAGTTGGAAAAACTTTGATCTTTTCTCCTCTCCAAATGTGCTGTATAGTCTGAAGTTTCTTTCCCTGCTGCCCGGCTCCTCTTGGTGCAGACCAATTGGCCACCGCGGAGCCTTAAAGTTCGTCCTTTAAAGGGATGTGGGACTTTTACTTTAAAAAGCAGAGAGAGCGAGGGAGAGGAAGACTTGTAACAGTTAGTGAAGACCAGAGGCACAAGTGCGCTCGGCCTTTTAAACAGCGTTTCCCGGCATTGTTAGCCAGCCTGCAGGCAGCTAGGCATGGGTTGAAGCATTATAGAAAAGGCCTCTGAATGCCCTACAGGTGGTCTGCGCACATAATCCCCCAATTTAAAGCGTTTTCCTTTGCTGGACAATTGCATTACAAAACTCCCTTCTTTTTCGCCCCTAATTGAACCAATGAACTATTATAAACTACAAGTTTTTCTTTAAAAAAAAAA